TACTTTCAGTTTGTAATTTTTATAATGGGATATGGGATCACTCCTAATGGATTTTTTTTAACTACTTCTAACAATGTTTAATGCAATAAAACAAACTGTATACAATTTGAATAATCTTTCTAAAAAAAAATAGTACTGACCATTTACATTTTATATTTTAATAAAGTGGGACCAAGAGTCACAATTTAATTTCTTCAAAGTAAAAAAGCATTTTAACTCAAGCCTATGTTTCTTGGTTGAACAGTACAGTACTGCCTAGAAAATATCATACAGAAAAAGGAAAAGTTTACCAAAAAAAATGACAAAAATTCTGTAAAAAAATAATGCTTAAAATTATAAGTGAAAGTGACATAATTTTGAATTTTAGCCCTTGTCCAATTTCTCAGGGTATTTTATAGATTATGAAGTAAACTTTTTGAAAAAAAAATGGGGCTTCTTCTCTTCAGGTTGCTGTATATGCTGCTTTACATATTTATAAAGAAAGTATTGTATATTTTACCTGAATAATTGGATATTAATCTCAGAAATGAAAGTTGGTATGACAAATCTTGTGCATTTTACTTTAATAATGATCAATGATGATTAAATTTGACAAGAATTTGCCATTTGAATAAATTCAATTTTGTAAGAATACATCTCTATGAATTAATTTCTTGTTTGACTGGAAAAGCTAGTGTTTGCTATTATTAATGTAGCTTACTTAGTAAAGAGGTAATTAATAAGCAAGGTTTCTAACTTATAAAATATAAATATAATTAACTGACCTTCATTTCCTTTTTTCATATGTTTTTTCCTCCAGAAATTTTCTTTGCAATGCATTTTCTATTGCTATTTTTGTGCTTTTGTTTATCCATAGTCCATCATTAATTTGTCATATTTGTTTCCAGTATAAATGAAATTTTCTAATAGACCTATAGTTTCATACGCCATAAAGAAGAACTTTGTTTGTTGTTTCACTTGTCCAATGTGTAAATTTTCACCATGCACATGACCCTGACACATATTTTGTAAACGTTATATGGCGTATGTTGAAAGAGAAAACAATGTCACCGTCAATTTGTGTAGGGGATCAAAAAGGGTTTTAATTACAGGCGTGATTGTTTTATGTGTACTTGCAGAGATGTCCCGAAAAAGTCCGGGAATATATTGCTTCCCTTTAACAAAAGTTCGGGAAAAAGTAACTTCCCCTGAATATTAATAGTAAACTTCCGGGCACGTAAATTTGAATTTAGTGAAAATAGTGAAAATCTTTTTATTATATGCTTGAGATGGACTAAAAATGTTACGAACAGTAGCAATTTGATAAATAGAAACGACGTCTGCGATCGGACTGCGAGAAAGGCATGTTTTCCAAAAAAATCGATGGGGAATCCAGGTAGGTCAATTTTATTATTTATTTATAGCATGCAAGATGGCGTCGAGTTAGTTGCCTTTTTGTTTCTAAGTGTGGATAGTAAAATGGGGGTTTGTCTCAAAGTTGGTAAAATCACTCGAAACTAGGTGAGACATGCGCAGTAGTGATAGATATTTAGTATAAATATAGAAAATTGAATATTTTAATCAACAAAAACAAAAATTTTAAAACATTTCTGTATCATATACCCAAGCGCCTGTGGTTTTAATTACTTTAAAATGGAGGTATCGTATGGAATTGTGAAAAACAACAATTTTTAATCACAATTTAATTCATATCTATAATAAAATCAGTATTTTAGAGTACTTTGGAAACAGGTACAATGAAAAGAAGTTGAACTTTCCTGTTTTGAAGTAGAAACGCAGCCAAAACCAGGTACAAATTAACATGACTGGTGGTCACCAAAATTGATGTATAATAGTAAAAAATGATGGCTTCAAAATTGTGTAGAAATTTGAAATAGTTTACCCGGTTTCATTTAAGATTATTACCGTTCTTTTCCTTATTTGGATACGCAAAAGGTCAAGTTATGAAAAATCGATGTTTTTGGCGAACAAAAAAGATGGCTGAAATTTTTTAGAACGGACAGGATAAAGAAATAGCAATAACAAGCTATTTTTGATAATGTTTGTATGACGTATTGAAACTATATTGGTCGCAAAACCTTCAAATTCTAAAATTCAATTATAATAAAAGCATGACAAGTTGAAATAAATACTTTAAACGTCAATCTTTTAGCCGATTGATTTGGCGGACTTTTTGACGTCACGGACGACTGTAGCGCCACCTAATTAATTCCCCCTGCTATTGTTGCTGATAGAGCTTGACGACAACGGACGTTTCCAAGGACTTGCTTTCCAACTGTTAAGTCAGTAAACAAGGAATTGATCAACACCTTCTACATATAGACTTTTTAAATACTTTTCGTCATTTTAAACTTTAAATAGATATAAGAAGATGTGGTATGAGTGCCAATGCGACAACTCGTCATCCAAGTCACCATTCGTAAAAGTAAATCATTATAGATCAAAGTACGGCCTTCAACACGGAGCCTTGGCTCGCACCGAACAGCAAACACATAAGAATGGTGTTTCAAGAGTATGACACCAGATTGAAACTACGCACACGGGGGGGGGGGGGGGGAGGGGGGGGGGTCACTTCCTATATGAAGGTATATACATATGTGCCGCTGGAATGGGTCCCTTTTTTGATACGTCAAATATATCAATGGGGTGCAATTTTACCGAGAAAATATATCAATGGGTCATAATTTTTTAGTTTGTTGTGCAACGATCTTCACTGAATTTCCCAAACTCTTTGTCAAAAAAAAGACATTAAAATTTCCACATCTGCTGAAACTTATTGACACAAGTTTTGTTATTGATTAAATTTTATTACACTGTCACAATAAATAATCTTTACCCACTAGAGTATAGTAAAAAACAGGTCACATATCGAACCTTTTGCACTTATTGCGTAACATATCGATCTATTTGCACTTATTTTGTTGCGTTTATATGAATGGGTTATGATTTCGCTGTGAAATATATGTATAGGTAGGGATTTCACAATTATTCAATATATGAATTGGGGGGGGGTTTTAAATCCCAGCTGCACAACTGTACCCAAAATCCAATGTTTAGACACCCCGGCATTTTCCTTTGATCTATTGTTTTTTCTCTTTGATCTTAACGATTTTGGCCAAATCTCACGCATATGCATTATTAAAAGTTGGCAGAACTGCCACCCCCTTTTTTTTCTTTTTATCCAAAACGTAGTTTAAACATATTTTATTTGCTGAATATCAGCAAAATGGATGAGACGCAAGTAAATCATACTTATGAAATCTTCTCCATATTACAATACAAGTATATATACAATAATAACATTATGAGCATGCATGTAAGGCGAACAAATTCATTGAATATTATACGAACTATAAATAAAAAGAAGAAAAGAACAAGAAGAATGGAAAAAGGAGGAAAAGAAAAAGAAGCAAATCATGTTTTCTGTGATGATGACTTAGATTTGATGGTGATGATCATCCGTGCCGGTAGTAATAACACTTTATGAAGGTACTAGAAATATGTTAGACCTTTTATTAAATCTTGAACATGATTGAAAATTAGAAGATTTTTTTCATTCGAAAGTTCAAGGTGTCCGCAAGTTAATAGTTTAGTATCAATAATAAAGTTTTCAGTAAGTAAAATTTCTCTACATGTAGTGTATTTTGGTCAAACGAAAAGAAAATGATGAACATCCTTAATATCAGACCCACACTGACACGAAGGATCCAGTATAATGTTAGCTTTGAAAAGGTCAGAGTTTAAAAAAGAAGCGGAACATCGCAATTGAGTTAAAATAATATTCAGTTTCCTCGGACCGTACATATAATACGGCGCAACTCTACTCTGAACACTTTCATTTTTTCAATTCTCTCTTAAATTTAGATATAGAGTCGGTGTTCCGAATTTTTAAGTCAAGCTTATTCCATTCTCGTATTGTGGAAGGAATAAAAGATTCAGTGGAAAGGGAAAGTCTACAAAATGGAACAATGATATTTTGACCGTTTCGCAACGGATAGTTGGTTGTACTTTGTATACATGGGGGGACAGGATTACACAGGTACTCAGGTGCATGTTTTTTATTTATATTATAAAACATCTGTAATTTTCTTCTTCTTCGTCTTTCATATAAAGTTTCCAAGCCAACCTCAGAGTACAGAGTATCAGTTTTAGTGAAGATATTGGTAGAATGGTAACTTTTGTCTGGATCGTTAAAAAACGTAGGTGAAAAAACTGTCAAAATAGGTGCAATTTGGGTAACCTCACGTCACCTACTACAGCAATCCCTACGACATATACTATAGAAAATGTCCCCTTCCCAGAGTATAGATCTAGCACGTCATGGCTCGAAAACCTAAAACAGTTTTGGTGTTTAGCCAAGTGGGCATCTTTCTGGCAAAATACAAAAGAAATATTTCCCAAGGTCAGCAACTGAAAGCATAAAGAAATGCATCTAGTTTGACCATCCAAATACATTGTTGTCATTCTTAAATTGTCTGCATGATATTAACCATTTCCGAATGTGAGCGTTTAAATGGTGAGATCATGTTCCTGAAAATGGATTAGCACTGATAAACGTTTATTATATATTTATACTTATACCTTGATATGATAGTTTACACATTTCGGGTATCATAATTTTGTGATATGATCAGAGTATAAAACCCTGCTTTGTACTGAACCGACACAATAAGCCTGATTCTTAACGTGCTTTTTCACAAGGAAACAGTCCCGAGCCTACGAGGAAAAATTATTCTGACATTATGTCGACCAATATATGGTCTTACTCCTAAATGCTGCGTGCCTAGCGGAGAAGCAGCAAAGACGTATTTCCAAGTCTTTGGTTTTACCAGGCCGGGGTCCGAAAGCCACTACTTCCCACACTCGAGGGGAGCAAGCTACAAAAAGACCACGAGGCGGTAAATAAAAAATAGAATCAGAATACATTTTGTAAACCATGTTTTTGTTACTACCTATAATATCCTCAATATTAACAAAACAAATTGAAATATTTTTGAAAGTTCGTTTTAGTTAAACCCTCTGAAAAATTTATGGATCCGTTCCTGTTGATCCTTACAAGCATTGTCAAAAACAAAATAAGGAAAGGGATGGTACTTTACTTTTGTTTTCTTATCATTTACTTCAAATTATTTTATTAATGTTATCAAATATTCCTTCTATAAAATGATAGGCAAGCTGTGTATTGTGTATATCATACGCTAATAAATATATCTCTGTATGCCCCCGCCATAGCGGATGGGGCATTAAGTTTCACCCTTGTCCGTCTGTACGTCCGTATGTCCCGAAACACACATTTATTCCATGTTTCTCTACTTTCCTATTCACCACAAATGGTTAAGCTCAGTCATTTGTAAAAAATAGAAACATGTCCAATATCACTACACAGAGATTATTTGTTTACACACAACTTTTGAGTTCCTCATTTCGAGGCGCATTAGGGATAATGACCCATATTGAAATCCATAGTTCTGATTTTTCCAAAGATTTTTGTGTGATCTTCATAAGTATGATTTTCTGAATAAATCTGTGTATTTTTGTCCATTTCTGAAAAAAAAAATAAAGTTGTTTCAGCACTATAAGGCAATGACATTTTTATCGCTATATTTATTTATTTATTTTGAATACAATGTGTATGTATAATTAATTTCTTCCAGTATACCTTCACTAGTCAAAACATGGACAAAACATCTGATGATAACCTTAAATTACAATACACAGACCCTGTTAAAGCATTCAATAAAATTTTCTAGTGTCTAAAAGTGCATTTTGACTGAGAAATTATGCAAAAATGTAGATCTGATAAAAAAAAACACCAAAATACTTAATTATTTTTACCAGTGGGAATCTGGTATTTATACTGTAGAAACCACTCTAAACTACTGTGAATGTCATTTTTATCATATAATTAGAGTGCAATGAAGTGCAATTTTTACAAAACTTGTCTTTTCACATAATTCTATTTGAAAAAAAAGTCTTTTACATGTATTTCAGTGAAAACCCTTTATCAGTGAGAAATGCACATTGTGACATCACAGGTATTATTGCGTCATTAAATAACGACAGATCAAAATAATGCTAACTATAGTTTGCAGTGTTACATGAGGAACAGTTGCCGCAAGGTTTAACTCGAAAAATGGAGTCGAAAAGATCAGTAACTAAGCATTTTTATATAATATCAAGACCATAGCAACAGTTTTCATATCAGCATATTTTTAACATACCGACTGTTGTTTCAATTGCATAAATACCATAAATAAACAATTTAGAGCTTGCCTAATAAAACAAAATGCTTACCAGTTATTCAGAACTTTTTAAAACCTCTAGTTTGTCGTCTCAGGTTAAATAGTAATGATATGTCTGGAACTGAAATAAGACAAAAAATTTACTCAGGCTGTGTTGTCATTTGATTTAAATACACAAGTATTATTGAGAGAGAAAAAATCTAATTTTTGAAAGTTTTATCACAAAGAAAGAGAAAGGCTTCTCCCTTGTGGCTTATCAACCTTCATTTAAACCTTTTATATTAGGAGCAATGAGTAGTAGCTTAATAGTTGAATAGGTGCAGCACTATTGTTTTCAAAAGGTTTGACCCTCCCTCTTTTTCACTGAGAAAAGACAATATCTTGTGATTTGCTAGTGTGCATTAATATATAATAGTTCATGATTTTCTTAATACATGTTTGTCTGTTTATTTGCATATAATTTCTAATGACCAGGGGTCAAATTATTGCATAAAATCACATGTGACGATGTATACTATTTTTCTTGATTATCAGTTATTTCTGTAGACCGGAATGATAATTACATAACAAAGACTTTATTGTGTCATATTTACTTACAATTTAATAATATTAAATGTTTCCATAAGCAGTTCATGCCTTTTTCAAGTAAATAACAAGTGCTTTTCGGATCTCTCGGGGTAAACAAAGTTATGATTGTGCCTAAAAGAAGTGTTCAGCCCCGTGCCAGTAATGCATTTCAAAAGCGAAAATTTTTGCTGATCTTTATCGATAATGTTTATTTAAAACCAGCTTGGATAACTAGGTATAAATAAAAGACTACTAACCGTTATTTTCACAATTTCCTCTGGTGTACAAGGTGCAATCATCCATAAATCAGTCTGAAAACTGCTGAAATTCTTCTTGTAATTTGGGTTAATATCTGTAATTCTTTTTCCATAGGCGGTAATGGTAACGTTTTTTCCTGTAGCTCAGTCCATATCGTAAACTTGGATATGTATGATAGCTCGTTTCGAAGCTGTGACATTTTCACATATGTGGTTAAATTTTCGGGGTACGAAGTGAGATTACTTTTTCCGTAAATTAGCATACCCCGAACATTCTTTTGTGATGCGGCTCTTCGTGGTAAAAAATCCCTTTTTTAACACAATAAGTTCTTTGAAAATTTAATACTTTGAACACATTTAATAGCTCCATAGTTTTTACACATTTATTCTATGTTCCTCTACTTTCCTAATCATCACAAATGGTTATGCTCAGCATTTGTAAAAAATAGAAACATGTCCAAAATCAATACACAGAGATTTTTTGTTTACACACAACTTTTGAGTTCCTCATTTCGAGGTACATTAGGGATAATGACCCATATTGAAATCCATAGTTCTGATATATTTAAAGATTTTTGTGTGATCTTCATCGGTATGATTTTCTGAATAAATCTGTGTATTTTTGTCCATTTCTGAAAAAAAAATAAAGTTGTTTCAGCACTATAAGGCAATGACATTTTTATCGCTATATTTATTTATTTATTTTGAAAACAATGTGTATGTATAATTAATTTCTTCCAGTATACCTTCACTAGTCAAAACATGGACAAAACATCTGATGATAACCTTAAATTACAATACACAGACCCTGTTAAAGCATTCAATAAAATTTTCTAGTGCCTAAAAGTGCATTTTGACTGAGAAATTATGCAAAAATGTAGATCTCATAAAAAAAAAACACCAAAATACTTAATTATTTTTACCAGTGGGAATCTGGTATTTATACTGTAGAAACCACTCTAAACTACTGTGAATGTCATTTTTATCATATAATTAGAGTGCAATGAAGTGCAATATTTACAAAACTTGTCTTTTCACATAATTCTATTTGAAAAAAAAGTCTTTTACATGTATTTCACTGAAAACCCTTTATCAGTGAGAAATGCACATGAGGTTTTAAAGGAACATTGTGACATCACAGGTATTATGGCGTCATTAAATAACGACAGATCAAAATAATGCTAACTATAGTTTGCAGTGTTACATGAGGAACAATTGCCGCAAGGTTTAACTCGAAAAATGGAGTGGGAAAGATCAGTAACTAAGCAATTTTATATAATATCAAGACCATAGCAACAGTTTTCATATCAGCATATTTTTAACATACCGACTGTAATTTCAACTGCATAAATACCATAAATAAACAATTTAGAGCTTGCCTAATAAAACAAAATGCTTACCAGTTATTCAGAACTTTTTAAAACCTCTAGTTTGTCGTCTCAGGTTAAATAGTAATGATATGTCTGGAACTGAAATAAGACAAAAAATTTACTCAGGCTGTGTTGTCATTTGATTTAAATACACAAGTATTATTGAGAGAGAAAAAATCAAATTTTTGAAAGTTTTATCACAAAGAAAGAGAAAGGCTTCTCCCTTGTGGCTTATCAACCTGCATTTAAACCTTTTATATTAGAAGTAATGAGTAGTAGCTTAATAGTTAAATAGGTGCAGCACTATTGTTTTCAAAAGGTTTGACCCTCCCCCTTTTTTTTGGGGGTCAATATCTTTAATTTTTTTTCCATAGTCGGTAATGGTAACGTTTTTTCCTGTAACTCAGTCCCTATCGTAAACTTGAGGCTCATTAGGGATATTGACCCAAATACAAATTAGTATTTATACAATATGACTGAAATTCACATATATCATGTATATATATATATATACAATCATTTACAGTAAATAGTCAAGAGTCTCATGTCCTCAAATCTAATGAATTTTTAATGTAGAACCCAAATTTATTTACTTCTGATGGTGTTGATGGATTGAGCATGAACATCAACTTTTCTTCATCAGACAAATCTTGAACAGCTAGAAAAGTTTATTTCCAAATTATAAAAAAATGTGTTTCTCAGCTCCCTATTTATTTCAATTTTAAACTGATAAAAACTGCTTTTTCATCTTCTTTTATGTTACACATAAGACATACTTCGCTGCTCTCTAGGAATATAAGAATGTCGTCCTTTTTAATATATCTAAATTATAATCTCTAATTGTTTGTTTTGTAATTAAAGTTCTATATGTAAAGTTTGTTGTTCTTAAATAGTCTTTAAACAATAAATTTTGTTTAAGTATCTTATATAAATAAAGTCTACTTTTTTCATATTTTTTTTGCATTTTATTATGAATCAAATTTTCAAAGTAGTTTTTAGAACTTGTTTTTATGTAACCTTTAAATGAATTATTTATTTTGAGGTCTGAATAGCGAATATTATTTGGTTTATAAGTGAACGAGAGAGCCATGAACAAAACACAAATAAACAGCATTCTGTACAGATAAATATACGGTTTCCAACAATTTGCAGGTGTCAACATGATAGGTCAAGTTCAAGTATCGCCATGAGTTTAAACATGAAGTTAATCTATCTATTAGAGGCTATCAAACATTTGTTACCGACACCTTTGGTTTTGCTTGTTTAATGGGATCTCAACCCAATTCTAACCTATAAAACATTAGGAAAACTAACAACAGGTACGTAAAAGAGGATGAGTTAAAAAGCAAAAAAAAGGAAATCACTCTTCAGGTATAGAACCTATAATTTGGATTAGGTCAGAAAGAAAGAAGTACGTATTGCAAAAAAAGTAGTTTCTATACATAGCTGTAACTGTTTCAATAAGTAAACTATTTAGATAATTGTGGTATCAAATGAAAGCTGAAGGACTTGAGATCAGTGTAGAACCATTGTTATTTTTTTCTTTGGAATAATATACAAATTTATGAAAAATAGGAGAGCATACTTCCCTGTTGATCAGATCAGAAGTACAATGTACCTGTTTTTTGTTCTACCAAACTTCCGGGAGCCAGTGCGTTTAATATGCAATTAAAGGTATATTGAATTTTTCAGCACAAGTCAAGATAAGGTATAGTTTTGACATGAAGTTACCATCAATTTATTTGAACTTGAGACAAAATAGCGATCAATACTTGAAGTTGCAGAATTAAACATAGAAAGCAATGGGGCTATGCATTAGTGGTATTATTCCTTGACAGTATAATGGATTTATAACACTAGTACTAAAAAACAAATACCATTACCAAAAATATTGCCCACACTATGAACATATTTCTAGCAAGCAACATATTAATTGTATAATGAATTTCCCTAAATGGTTCAAGAAAATGAAAATAACACTTTAGAAATGTTGTTCGTTCGACATGGTTTTGTGTATTTACCTTCAACAGGAACCCTCAATCCAAAACATTTTAAAATCAAGGATAAATAAATACCTGAATACGTGAAGAGCTATATGAACAAATAGAACCTAAAAAGAAACCACATTCCCGTCATATGTCTTTATTGTGATATAACGCGACTTTCACGTGAACAACTTGACGATTGCCTTATGATTATGATCTACTTATCCATTCAGAGCACGTGATTTATCATCGTCTTTTGGTTTGGTTTTTGTTGTTTAATCCTTTCTGTGTAATAGTTTTGTTTGTTAATGTGTTTGTCATTTCGTTGATTTTTGTTTGTTAATATGTTTGTCATTTCGTTGATTTTTGTTTGTTAATGTGTTTGTCATTTCGTTGATTTTTGTTTGTTAATGTGCTGATTAATTGCATTTAAATTTTTAAAACAATTTAACTGTAACAAAGCTGTTTCTAAAGAAATCAAAATGAAAAGTAAGCTGTTTAGGGACTAGCTTTTGAAATGTTACATTAATTTTATTTTTTATGAATCTGAATAAGAAATAAGCATTATTTCATATTGATTTAACAAAAAAAAAAAAAAAAAAAATTATATTTTAGATTTCATTTCAATTTTAATGTTTGCCACTCTGAAAAAATAGATGTAACATACATATGCATGTACACTACATAGTAATAGTAAATCCGCAAAAAGACTAGTTTATATTAAAATAAATAGAAGCCAAATATATAACAGATATGAATAAAAGTAGATGTAAAAGTAATATACGAGTTTTAATGTTGTTTTATACACAAACAGAGGGGGACTTCTCTTCTTTTGTGGTATGAGATAGCAATTTGACGTTCAGTACAACACCCTTTGTATATGTTTTGAATATAAATAAAAAAGACCTAGTATATCTTTGTTACACTACTTCATAAAATTAACAAATATTAAACTTTTCAAATACTTTTATAATATATTTAATTTAAATTGTGTAATCTTGTTATATATGATGAAGCTTGAAATAGGCCTCTAGCACATTAACACTGAGACTATGAGTGTAAAACCTTCTCTTGGCTCGATCATTAGTTCGATCTTAGGATTGAACGTTTTCCTGCTGAAGGTTGCTGATTCTCTCTTGGAACTCCGGTTTCCGACAAATAAGGCAAACCTTGATAAAGCCAAGTGTTGAATGTGGTGTTCAACACCATTAATCAATCAAGTAAGCATTACACATTAACAAAATCATTGTACATCTTCGTACATGCCTTGATGTACACAAGATAGTGTCAACTCCATGGAATCATATCATGATGGAAATAACAAATTGTAGTAATAAACTTCCATATATATATTTCAAATATGTATAAAGAACTTTACTTGGTGCTCCCAATAGCCTTATAACACTAAGGTGCTATATGTTTTGCTATCTGGATATATGTGATGATGGAATGTATTATAAGACTTAGTGTTGTGCTATAATTGTAAATAATGCGAGCTTACATACAAGTACACATGACACTCCCTAGCAAGACTGGATATACAATCAGTGAATCTTTGACTTTGGATCAATATCAAAAGCATCTATAATTTGAAGGGCATTTATTGCACATTCAGTTTTTAGCTGAATGTTAATAAAAAAG